ATTATATTTTGTGCATTATATCTTAGCTTAACTTAAAGCTAAGAATATATAAGAGTGGGTTGGAATCTCAAGAACCATAGGACTTTATTCTTGTGGTTTTTTGGTTGTTGTTTTTTAAATTTTAGATCTTACACAGATTTATTACATGTTAACATGTTTACTTAAAAACAAAGATTTGTCTTGGCATTCCCAAGCCCTTAGGCATGGCTTAAGTAGCTCCCTGGATTCTAGCCACTGTCAACATTAGTGACCAGGTAAGTTCCTATCAGATATCTCAGTTCCAGACTAGAAGCCTCATTCCTTTTTTTAAAAACAGTGCAAAGACAAAAAAAAAAGTATATTGTGCTTTTCCAACACTTACCAATCAGCACTAAGGAAATAATTAATCTCTTTTATATTCCCTTCTAGTCCAATTTATTTATTCTATAAATTAACTGAGCTGATAGACAATATCTGTTAAAAAATTATTCACTGTTGAAATGGCTCATTACAGAACATCTACAAATCTTTGGGGAATTTTCTTTATGAGCAACATTATAACCAGAGTATACTACTATATGACAACTAGGCACCAGTTTAGAAACCAGGAGATTGTGTGCTCTGGCCCTGTATTAGGCATGAGCAAGTTTCTCTCTTAGCCTTAGTAAGCTACAAATATGCCAAGAAAACTTCAGGAATTTGTTCAGTCAGTCACCAGGGCTCAACATTACTGACTTACATTACTCAACATTGCTCACCATTTGTTTTGTGGCTGTTCAAAGTTACAACAGCACTGAAAAAAGTGACTTATGACTGGATTTCAAGTTATGATTGTTGCAGAGTCTCCATGGTCACATGATCAAAACTGAGGTGCTTGGCAACTGGCATGTATTCATGATAGCTGTACTGTCCCTGGGTCATGTGATCACGAACCTTCCCAGCTAGTTTCCGATAAGCAAAGTCAATGGGAGAAGTCAGATTTGCTTAATGACTGCATTACTTAACTTAATGACTGCATACTTAACTATAGCAGTGATTCACTTAACAACTGTGGCAAAAAGGTCATAAAATGAGGTGCGACTACTTAGCAACTGCCTCACTTAGCACTGGAAATTTTGGGGTCAACTGTGGTCATAAGTCAAGGACAACCTGTAATTCAAAAGACATTTCCTACTATATTTATCAAAGTAAAAGGTTCTCAAAGTACACTTGTTAAAGCTGAGTTGCTCTATTAATTCAGTCACTGTAGCTCTGTAACTGCAAGGTACAGCAAAACCTTAAAAGCCTTTTGTAGCTCAGCCAATCTGAACACACTCTTGTTCCCACAAAACCTATGGCAACTGCAATAAGTATTGGCATGGAATACCAAGGTTATAAAACAGCAAAAGTCTTTAAAACTTATGAGATTTGCCAATGTATTGAATTTTATTTTTCTGATGTTTTCTATTAATAAAAAAAGATCCACCTGGTTAAATATTCTCTTCTTAATGAAGCTATCAAATGAGGAAAAAATAGTACAGTAGTATGACTATTTCACTAATCAAATTTTTAAATGAAAATGTTCAAACTAGCATAGGCAAAAAAGCATTTAGTTTTTCCTTCACACGTGAGCTGAGCTTGATTGCAGATTTTTGTCTCCTACTTATTAATGTTGTTGTAGATATTCAGATTATTCTAATTTCTGTAACATAGATATTTGTTGATCATTACTATATGTTATATTTCATGTCTATTATATAAGTGTATATATATCTAATACACACACAAATATGCACTTTTCCATTTTATACATGTAAAATCTAATCATACATAACAACTCATGCACACAATAGATATCTCAGCCAACTTAAATGTTTTTAGAGCATAAATAGATGATAAGTGGAAAATTCACAGAGCAATGGGACTATTTAGAAATGGGGTTAGCTGAAAAGGTGCAAATTAAAACGGATAGGAAGACTAGGAAGTGACTAGGAAGACTTTTCTAGACAATAGCTTGTTTTCTAGAAGTAAAAAAATGTAACTTGTTTAATTTGTTGAACAATACAAATACCTTATGATGATGAACAGTACAAAATCCTTATGATAAAAGCAGCAGCTAACTATCCTTTACATGTACCCATACTACATGTAAAGTGCCAGAGTTGTTCAAAATTCCTAATGATGGTGTATTAAGACTTGTCTTTGGAAACTAATACAGAAGACAAGGTCAGTTAAACAGAATGTTTTTTAATGCTGCAGATAACAATTCTTGGCATGATATGGCTTTCACCAGGAGCCAGGGGGACCAACTAAATAGTGTCTTGTGAAGTAGAACAATATGCACATTGCCTGCAGTTCAAAGAAACAAGCAAAAAGATCCAAAGCAAGGAGACTCGGTTCCAAACAATCATGCTCAAAGTAGATGCATTACCAAAGTGTTAAATGGCATTACATTTGAAAGAAACACTCAACTGACCTCTCTTTTTAAAATACAGAAATGATCATGCTGCTACTAATCAGAGACAGAGCTATTATTCTGCTTCCACTCATAAAGAAGCTCTACAACCTGCTGAATTGTAAAAACAAAACACTCATATATACACTGAAATCTTTCCGAAACACAATCCTGTTGATTATTTTAAAATTAAACATGCTGACAATGATTAATTCATTAGTTGGGAATAAATAAAGGCAGTTCAGAGGCCCAGCACTTCAGCCTCAGGCTTTTGTATTCCCCCTCCTTTTTTTTCTTTATTCTATGCAAGAGGAGAGCAAGCTCCTTCTCTTTTAGTTTATAAATTAGCTTTAATCATAGGAAATTAAAGCAAGATAAAACAATGGTTTTATATTTTGCTTTGTTAACCAAGCCTAGATAGAACAAGCCACTTAATCAAATCTGAATCCAGCCCTCACCATTTTTGCAATGGGATAAACACACCTCTCACAGCAGTTCAATTTATTTGTTAAATATATTCATTGCATTTTTAAATTGCACCATTTCTACCATTTTCTTTTCTAAACAATAGTTCTGCTGAAGTAGTTTAAGTTAGTTTAAGTAATTTAAGTTGTGTTAATAGTGACTGACCCAAAACCATGGGAAATATTTTTCCTGTGCAGGAAGTCCTCATTTAATGACCACAATTAGGACCAGTAACTCAGTTGTTTGCCTGAAGTAGCCATTAAGTGAAAATGTGAGTTCAACTTTCCATTGCTTTACAGACCTGCAAAGGTTGTAAATGGAAGGGCTGGTCGCAAGATTATGTTTTCATCACCATCATAACTGTGAACCGTCACTAAATGAGAACAAATTATAGTAAAATATAAATTTGAAGTTCTGTATCCCCAATTCTCACCTAACACCCAACCCCTACACTCAAAAGCACAGATTGTATAGAAGAGGTCAATAACCTGGAGAACAACTTCCAAATCCCTGGCGATTATGCTGTGATTTATGGCTACTGAAATCCAAACACCTGAAAAGCGTTTAGGATGGCAATCACTGCATCCAGTATTACTACTACTACATTATCATAAACAATGTTTATTTATGACTAAATAGCTAGGTAAATGGTTCAAATCACAGTATGACCAATTCATGTGCAGCTCTTCTACTTCCAGGAGCTACAGTCCAATGCTACACATACAAACCTACAGGTTCCAAATAATCTTTGTGCCTTCAAATCCGAAGGCATAATCCTGACCTAAAGTATGATCATATGCTCCAAAAAGACGGCTGAGCTATGGTTTTCACGAAATTTTATTTATTTATTTATTTAATATTGCCGCCTATTCGCCCATGGAGACTCGAGGTGGCTTACACAATGTAAAACCATATTTAAAACTAAAACTAAAACTAAAAATCAATAAAAACTAACAAAAAGAATCAAATAAATTAATAAAGTACAATAAAACAAAATCTGGAAAAAAAAATCACACTCCCCCAACACCGACGACAGCAGATCACACTAACCATTTGATGGGCTCCATCCCACTATAGGTTCCCCAGGCCCGCTAGCAAAACTAGGTCTTCAGTGCCTTCCGAAAGAGTGGGAGCCATTCTAATCTCTGGGGGAGTGATATTCCAGAGAGAGAGAGCTACCAGGGGGAGGGAGCTGTTCTTCTGGGTCCCACCAGGTGTATCTTCCTCAGGGATGGGACCCACAACATTCCCTGTCTCCCCACTCTAATGGGTCAGGTAGATGTGATTGGCAAGAGAGGTTTTCTCAGATAACCCGGTCCCAAGCCATGAAGGGCTTTAAAGGTGACAACCAGCCCTTGAATTGCACCCGGAAGCAAATCGGCAACCAACGCAGCTCCTACCGGAGAGGTAACACATGTGCATACTAGAGTCTGCTCAAAACCATGCGGGCCACTGCATTTTGCACCAACTGGAGCTTCCAGATGCTCTTCAAAGGGCAGCCCCACGTAGAGCGTGTTGCAATAATCAAGACGGGAAGTGACTAAGGCATGAGTGACTGTGAGTAGGGACCGATGGTCCAGGAAAGGATGTAATTGGTGCACAACCCGCAACTGCGCAAAGGCCCTCCTGCCCACGAATGCCACCTGCTCTTTGAGCAGGAGTCGTGAGTCCAGGAAAACCCCTAGATTACGCACAGGATCTGTTTGGGGTAGTGCCACCCCATCCAAGACCAAAGGTGACAATTCTCCCTAAAATGGCTTGAACACTGTTCATAAAGACATTAAGGTATTGGATAAAAGACACCCATTCAGAAATTTATAACTTTTTGAACTGCTAGGAAGATGAAAGAAAGTTGGCAAGGCAGTAAAATGCCAGAGATGAAATGACAGCATGAAAAACTGCTATTGATTCACTTGATTAAAGCAGTTGCTGATCCATGTAGAGGGGCCATGAATGTGTAGTTAAAAGATAACAACTGAGCCTGCTCTTTAATTATAGCCTACACATTCTTTATTTCTTCCACTATTTAAATATATACCACCATCTGCTGGACAGAATATTAGAACAATCAAATGTAATTGGAGTGCTCCTACTACAAATAAATAGAAATTGCAGCATTTACCTGAGGTAGAGGCAAAGCAGCCAGGGACATGTGGAGACCATATGGTGCTATAAATGACACCTTCGTGGCCTCTGAATGTGCACAGTGGTCGTCCCACTTCAGGATCCCACTAGGCAAAATGTAAACAAATAAAGGATAATTGGTAAATCTATTTTCAGGATATAGCTCCCACTTTGGAGATTATCAGACTGAGTTTATTTTTTTAAACAAGCAAACAAAGTATAAGCAATTATTGTCATGAAACAAATATATTGCTTTCCCACAGAATTATTTCCTAGTGTAAAAATGTGCATCTAAAATTTGCCAAAATGTGTACCAATAAAACAGTTTTAATTTATGCCTTTCTGAAAATAACCTGCTGCTTTGGTTTGCTTTTCATTTTAAAAACTGGGATGTATCTCTCTCTCCCTCTCCCTCTCTCCCTCCCTCCCTCTCTCTGAAAGAAATAGAAATAAACAGACTGGAAACACTGAGAAATGTAACCACTGGAACATCAAATCTGGGTTGTAAGTAGCTTTTTCAGAGTCTATTATAACTTAGATTGGTCACTCAGCAACTAGTCATAAGTCAAGAGCTACCTGTACTTTTAACTATCAACCTCCCTGGTTTAATAATTTAAAGACCAATCACATATGCAAGTCTTGATCAATTGGAAGTTTTGTTATGGAAAGAAATACATCCTGCAACGCATCCCACTTGATCAAATTAACACATGAAATATTGTAATGATAAAAACAACTAGATTTCTCACTTTAATTGCCTATTTTTAACTAATATTAATTTAAACAAAAGAAAGTAAGTCATCATCGGAAAAAGAAAAGAACAGAAATCATGTTGAGAATATCATTTTAGAATGTCAAACGAATATGCAATTTAAGTAAGCTGCAGTACACACATACCAATTTTGCTGTTTGATCCCATGATCCAGATACTATTAACTGATCTCCTCTGGTTTGACTCCAGTCAACACTATAGACCTGTAAATATTAGATACACTTTTGCTTGCTAGTACACATTAGATAAACAATAAATAGAGCATATCTCCTGTCTTACTACTGAAAGAATATACTGGATATACTGTGTAAGAAGAAGATACACTATATATCAAGGTTCAAGTCTGAAAAAATGAAAACTAATAACAAAAAATAAAACATTTCTCTTTTAATAATATGCATATTAATAATCCACAATTTATAAAGGAACACAGAGATTGTGAGACATAAAATTGTTTATGCATGCATGTGCATTTATACTCAAATATATTTGTATATACATATATAGATGTGTGAGTGTTTGTGTGCCTATGTAGGCTGTGTGTGTGTGTGCGCGCGCACGCACGTGCTGGTTGGTACATCCTTTTATTTATTGCATTGTAATAACTGTAATCTTTACCTTCACTTTTTCTTCCTAAGATAGAAAATTAAGACCCAGTCAACTGAAAACTACTGAAAACTGTAGTTTTCGATAATATTTCAAGAATTCTTTTTGCTCAGAAGAATGGATCTACTTTATTGCTTTCTACTTGCTCAATTATAGTTTTTAAAAGCATTGATCCACACACTGCTCACTCTTATTTTCTGCCCAGCTATTCTTGAATTCACACATTTCTTTTCTATTTTTCTAGTACTTCATCAGAAAATAATTTCCAGGAGAAAACCACAGTCTCTGTTATAAAAACTAGGTTACCACTGGAAATATCCCAGGTCAGATACTCATCTACAATTGGCGTAGCATGGAAAAATTACACAAGGCCCTGGACTATTTTTAAATTTACTAAAAGATAAATGTGGCTTCCAAACAGGATCCAATTAGCTCTAGTATGGTGTGTCAGCTTTTAAAATGTATGATTCAAAGATTGACACTGAAACACTATGTGCCGGGCTATCGTCCAAGGATAGTCAGACTAGATGACCATTTTATCAATTAACTGGGCTGCCCAAAACAAAACAATACTCTTTTATCCTGGGACTAGATTCTGTTTTTTTAACCTTTATTTTATTTTCTTAGCTAAGGTCTTAAGACTAATTAATTAATAAACTATTACTATAAAACAAAACATCTAATGTTGTAGACGAGTCAGAATATTTAATTTTCAGCAACTGAACATATATCTCAAAATACTAATATAGCAAAAGCCTAATGGCACTCATTGCTTACGAACCTCCTCTTGTTAAGTGCTAACCCTGAGGGATCGCAAAAAAATACTCCTGCAGAGTATGTGACTCCTGTTTAACATGGTCACTGTAGGAGAGGAACCATCCCAAATTTTCATACTGCTTATTTTAAGTTTATCTGCATCAACTAACTCCTGCTTTTGATTAGGTGGGCAAAATGGCCATAGAAGTTCCTTCCCTGCCTTTTCCCGTGCAAAATAAGGTGTTTTGCCCATGCCACAACAATTGGAAGCAGCTGACGAAGAAGCCACTCATGTCCGGAAAAATTAATTATTTAAATAATTTCTTTTGCAATTATACCTGTGAAGCAGCCCTTTGAAAGAATTTGTACAGCCCTGCAGTCTAGAAGTCAGGAGATTGTGACTTCTAGTCCCCCATCAGATACTAAAACCAGATGGATGATTTGGGGCCAATCGTTCTCTTTTAGTCTACTTAAGAAAAGCCTTACAAAAAAACTGAAGGGACTTCTCCAGGCAATTGTCAGGAATCACACTGACTCAAAGATGTGTGTGTGTGTGTGTGTGTGTGTGTGTGTGTCTTTAACACTAAGATGGGCAACTTCTAGTCGACTCTAGCAAAAACCAACCCTTCACTCAAAAACATCACCCTGCCCAAAAGCCTCTTCTCCCAACCACTAATACCCTCCTTACCCTTTTAGGCTTACCCTCTTTCTATAAAGAGTGTACATGCCATATGAAAACGTTCAGGAAATGCTTGAGGCTAATTCAGCTGGACTTTGAAATGCCCTATTTCTATCACAGAATGACAAAAGATATTCCAGTGTAGAAACAGACTATTCAAACCTCACCAATAGTAGTCTCACCTTAGAATTATGAAAATTATGAAGGTAGAACAATTGGTCTCAAAACATTTTGCAGACCTCTAGAGAAGGTATACTTGGATTGCTTCAAATTTTGGCTATTTTAAGATTCTAAGTTTGCTACAAAGACAATGAACACATTTTTATGTTAGCTTCTCTTATTAATCTTGGGGACGGCGGGGGGGATCAGTATAGTTCTACAAAGTGATAAACCTATAAATTCTGCAGAGTACAGAAAATTATGTATAGGAGGGCCAATAATAATGAAATTATTTTATATGGCAGAAGTTCATACAATATAAAAATACCACAATCTTTCTGGAAAAAGAAAAAAATAGTGTAATTTCTAGATAAGACAACCTTTTGAAGTGTTTCTATAGTTACTGTAACACTTTAAACAAAAAATACAAAAAACCTTTCACCTTTTTCCACAATAGAACAGAATCATTATGTTACATAATACTCAAAAATCATTTCCATTGATCTCAATCTCAAAATTGCTATTCAAACAGAGATGCAAGATTTGTAAGGTTAATATACTGCTGGACAGAACATTGCAATTTCCAAAGGAAATTCTGCTTGTTTGTTTTTCAGAATGTCATTAATTTTCTCCAATAGTATTTATTCTTTTTTAAGAAAACATTTTAATAAAGGAAAGATAAACAAGAAATGGACAAAAGCAATAGCAAGACAAATCAGAGAGATTATTCAATCACAGTTCATAGAAGTGAAAGAAGGTTCTTGTATTTTTAAACTTCAACTTCTGTTTTATTGATTAAACAAAGGATTCCTCTTTGAAGAGTCTATCTTGTTCTAGAGAAAAATGACAATACTTAATTATACCTCTTGAGTGTGTTCTTTATAGACCTGCAAAGGACCTGCAGGTTTTTCTGTATCCCAGATTTGTAAAGATCCATCTCCACTAGACGTGACCAGCACATGTTCATTGTTTTCACTCCACGTCACATCAAATAGACCATCATTCCAGTCAAAACTAAACCAAAAGAGAACATATTAATTCATGACAAGAATATATAATGTAATATAACTGGGTACTATTTAAAGATACAAAATTTTATGTAATGACTCGGTTCACCTAACACACAATCTCAAAACAAACATTTACATCTCACACAAAAAAATATGATGTAGGCCTGGGGAGAACCTGGAATGAAATTTTTAGCAAGTCATAACATTTCACTGAGCTACATTCACTCAGCTTAACTCATCTTATACAGAAATTATGAAAAGACAGGAATCCTCACAGATTCAACCCTGAGTTTCTTGTTTAAACAATGAGTGTGTGTGTGTGTGTGTGTGTGTGTGTATGTGTTGATCAGTGGTGGGATTCAAATTTTTTTACTACCAGTTCTGTGGGCGTGACAGGGGAAGGATACTGTAAAATCTCCAGTCAGAGGTGGGATTTGCCGGTTCTCCGAACTACTCAAATTTTCTGCTACCGGTTCTCCAGAACTGGCGAGAACCTGCTGAATACCATCTCTGGTGTTGATGACACACTTTTAACATTCAGCATTTTAAAAATTATTCTGCTAGAAACAAACAGATCTAACTTTTCCTGAACTTCATATCCAGTTTGTCTTATTCAAGCTTATTGTCAGTGGGGCCATTGATGCATAAAGAGTAAAGGTGATAATGAGTCACCTTGGAAAATTCCACGTTTAATATCAATTTTTAATTCTTCCCTATTAGTGATCAACTTTGATCACCAAACTTCCTTCAATTATTCATATATTGTTGAATATTGTACTAACTCCAAAAATTTTGAGATATTTCTCAATCCAGCTATGTAAAGCAGAATCAAATGCTTTTTAATAGTCTATTCAAGCCATAAGGAAATGTGTTCTTTTTCTCAAATTCTTTAAAATTAATTTGTTGATCAATAATTACTCCTTCATTCTTCTCAAATTTTAGCATAATCCTTGTTTTTCTACAGAGAGTAAATCATTTCTTTTCAAATAGCTGCAGATTTGATTTGCAAGGCTTCCAATGAAGATGTCCAACTGAGCAAAGCTTTTTCAATTTACATATGTTGGAACTGAGTTTCCTAAGTTTTATGACTCTCTTCTCCACCACCACAAGATTCTCCATAAAGTGGCAGTTTGGAAGGAGACTCTGAACCAGTACTGAACCAGTAGTCAGATAAGTCGTCCATAAGCTGGGAATTGGGGCTGAAACCACTTTGTTGTTAAAAAAGTAATTGTTCTGGAATTTTTTGAATGGACAATTAGTCATGCCTTTCGCTTCTTAAACACTTTGCTTATTATCTTTACTATTTCAGTTACAATCTGTTTTATCTTTTTAAAGATCTGCACCATTTCTGGGAGTTCATTATTGTTGAACAACAAGAGGTAAGCTAAAATAAGGAAGCATGGAGTACTTTTTTCTCTCTTATTTTGATGGAGAAACATAAAAATTGAAAAACTTGTGATTTACTATATTCATTTGCATGAATTTGTCACTTTTATTTGATATTGGGAGGTATAATTTGCACTTTTGGATTGTTCGTTGTGGGAGGCTGAAATCTTCCAATTTTAATGGATACTGATTGGCCAGGAGGTACCAGTTCATCTTCAAAAAGCTTTTTTAAAATGTTTTTTCTTTGACCACAAGAGGGAACTGAAGAACAGAAGAAGATGAAGCAATATAAAAAAAACAGACAAAAATTGCAAAAATTATTTTGGAGTATTTAAACAAAACAATTCACTTTATAGATCAACTATGTTCAAAAAATGTCATGACAGAGGAGCAAAAGGAACAAATTACTTAAGTATTTGGAAGAAAGATGCATAATCCAGAGATGCAACCAAGTGTAGGTGGTTATCAAACCACTGAGGCTACAAACAATAAAATATGTATATTCTAAAACCACTGAGGCTACTACACTAGTATTTGATAATAAAAAGAACCTAACTCTAATATTGGAATATAAATCGATGCCTTTTATGAAGATGATTTAAATACAAGCTCATTACAATTATAACTCCCCCAGTGCAACTAAAACAAGAAAAGTTGCAAGTAAAAACTGTGATTCTTAAGAATTTGGGATTTCCACTTCAACACTGAAATGGAAATTGACAAGGTTGACATATTTTGTTTTAAAAATCATATTGAAAAATCTCTTGGAGAAAAGAGAAGTTTATATTTATTTAATAGATATTCCAAAAAAGGGGGAAAAGATTTTACCTCATAAGAACTGGAAGGAGTGACTTAAATTTAATAAGCTAATTGAAGCAAGGATGGCTTTTTTATTAGTTTGATACAGGTAATTAATGTTAAATAATTTTAAATTTCTTGTTACTTGCATTTATCCTTTCTTGTAGAGGGATGTTTAAAGTTAAATCAAATTTAAATTATTATTTAAAATTATTTTATTTTTTGTTAAATTAATACTTCCACAGTTAAGATAAAGGTAAAAGACATTTCTAGTATTTCTAAATCAGCAGGTAATATTGTACTTGCAAAGGTCCGATAGGTGTTTATTGTCTTTGTCCATGGAAAAGTGTTGAATAATTTTTTTAAAAAACCTACCCCATTCCACCCCCAAATTGCTTTGCAATATATTTCACCAAAACAATATGCATCAGAAAGTCCTTGAAAAACTAGAAAAAAACTACATTCGCTCCTATTTCAATATTTCCCTGTTGAAATAATTTTGTTTTATAGAAAGAATTCTTTCCTATAAAGAAATTTCTGTAAAACAAACAAACAAACAAAAAAGACATGAGGGATTTCTGAATTAACATTCATATTTGGACCCCAAGACCCACCACTGAGGTTTGAGACAAAATTTGGAGCTGGCAATACCTTTCACAAAAACTTTAATATTATCGTGCATAACAAAAATGTAGACATTCATAATTTTCCAAGATTGCACTAAACTAAATAAAATTTAGAAGGTGTACATCTGTGTTGCATCAAAAAAATTCTAGTTGTTTTAGGAAGCTTTTACTTCCTAAAAATACTGTTGACATGTTTTCTTGAGGCTTTAAAGGATTCTGAATTGTTCTATTGTCAATACTTCTTTCAACCCCCTTTTATTCAATACTACTCTATTAAATCAATGCACAAGAATTTAGTAGTATAAGTGTGCTTGATAGTTTTATTAAAATTACATCAGAATATCTAATTCCAAAAGCACAAGATGATGTAATAATTATTTTTATTATGAAAAAAACAAAATACCTCCTGAAAAGATGAAGTCCAGCTTCATTTTGTTCCAACACTACTAGAGTTCCACAACCTAAAATTGAAGACAATAAAAACAACACTAAAAACAATGGTTTACAGCAGGGGTCCCCAACCACCAGGCCGTGGTCCGGTACTGGTCCGTGGAACATTTCCTACCGGGCCACCGGTTTGCTGGGCGCCGCCATCTTCTTTGATGAGAAAGTGCTTCCGGGTGAGCTTTTCCGGTTGGAAAGCGGCATTTGGGTCCTGAAGGAATCCTCACGCCTTAGTTTCATCGAAGTGGGGGGCTTGGAACGAAACTAAGGCGCGAGGATTCTTTCAGCACCCAAGGCAAGGCGAGCCGAGTGATCGTCCCGAAGCCGTCCCGAAGCAAAGCCCATCGGCAAAGGTACAAAGGAGGAGTTGAAGGTGGCGGGGAGAAGCGGGGGACGGCTGGCTGGCCGGTCGCTCGGCTCGCCTTGCCTTGTCATGCGTGCTGATGCCGGTACCGGGCCGCGGATCATTTTGTGATGCTGGTACTGGGCCGTGGCACAAAAAAGGTTGGGGGCCACTGGTTTACAGCACTGGTGTCAAGCTCGAGCACGTCATGTGATGTATTGTGATGTATCGCAATGTTTTTTGCCTTTGTGGAGTTGGGGTGGCATGTGCATGAGGCATCCAGCCTGTGGGACATCAATTTGACACCCCTGGTTTACAATATAATATGGACTAATTTAAAGTAAGATTCTTGAAAACTGCTGAACTTTGGGAACCCCTTTCAGAAACACTGAAGCCTACCTTACAGCCTTGTCAAATTATATCAACTTAACATAGAAATGCTACTCTGACTGGCAGTGCTTTTTTAGGGTGAGACATCTTTTTCATCACTTATTGTTTAACTTTTTAAACTAAAGATATTATATACAAATTATGTGCTCTACCATCTTCTTTTCCAAAAGATGTACAGGATACACTCCGATGAATTTTACAGTTAATAAGGCTCCAGAGACTAAATATAAAAATACATCTCTATAGCATGGATTGTTAAGCAGAATCAGTGTTACCTTTTAGTGCCTTCAAAGTTGTACATTTCAAGAACTATTTTGAAAGCTTGAGATGGGAAAAAGAAGTAGGAAGCACTTTCAAATAAACATTTGAAGAGATTTTTGACTTTAGGATACAAAAAATATAATGGTCACAACTTCAGATATAGTTTAAAATAATGTAGAGATGACCTTATGGAAGGAATGGTCGAACACTTAAGGGAAAAGAAACAAATGAATCCTGGAAATGTGAAAATAATGAGAAAGAAAGAAACTCAAAATAAGCTGGCTTTGATTCTGTTTGGTGAAAGAGAAGGCAGAGGGAAACTGACTGACTTTCAAGATTCTGTTTTATACCTCACAACAATAAAGCAGCATGTCTGGAATTCTTGCAGTATCTGGTCTACAAGATACTGGGCTAAAGGAGTGACATATAGATCTAATGACTATGATATACTTGTGTAACTGTACTGGATTGTATACTTATTCCATGTCTAATGGAAATGCAACCTAAGACCCCATAGTTGCATGCAAACCTAAATGTTTCATGTGTATCCCCAGAACTTATTCAAATGTCACCATGACTGAAAGAAAATCACTAAATATATGACAGGGAATTACATATTAACAATTTAATTTTAATTCAACAAAAATTATGATTTTCCCCCTTTTCATCCTTGAACTGCCCGCTTTTTGGATTGTGGCCTCAAGCACACCATTCAGATATCCTATGTGGGAATGCCTCTTTCCTAAGGTATTTTTGTTTTCCTAAAGCATTTTTGTTATCTCTGGAGATTCACCTTCCATATGCAATATAGGTAGCCTTTGATTTACAATCATTTGTTTAGTGAGCTTTCAGAATTACAACAGCACTGAAAAAAGTGACATGATCATTTTTCACACTTACGACCACTGCACCATCCCCATGTTCACATGATCCGATGCTTGGCAACTGACTCATTTATGATGATTGCAGTGTCCCAGGGTCATGTGATCACCTTTGACAAGCAAAGTCAATAGGGAAGCCAGATTCACTTAACAACCATTTTACTACTGCAATGGTTCACTTAACAACTGTGACAAGAAAGGTAATAAAATGGGGGGAAACTCACTTAACTGTCTCACTTAGAGAAATGTTGGACTCAATTGTGGTCATACATCAAGGCCTACCTATACTACCAAACATAATTAGGCTGGTGGCTATAGGTAAAGAATATTTTCAATACTTGATTTACAAAAAGATATACAGGTAGTCTTCAACTTACAGATTTTATCTTATTAACCAATTTCTTCAATCACATAAAAAAATACCAGCCGCAACACTAATAGTAAACCATGTTTTTGTTTAGGGTGCACATACGTTTTTAGCTGAAATTTTTCCACTCAACATGTCAAAAGCTTGTTTTAACCATTTTATTTCCATTTCAAAAGAAGGTAACTTTTTCTTGTACTTTCTTCATTCCCAACTGGGTGTAGCCTGACAGCACTCAACCAGGAAAGCCTCAGCACCCACTTCCCACGCCAGGATTGTGTGCAGCACTTAATCATAGCTTTCCCAAGGCCTTCTTCCCCCAGTTTTTCATGATCTCTTGACCCAGTTTATTAAAAATAATAATATGGCCCTAGAGGGTGCATATTACCCTTGAAGACTGCCAGTTAATTTTGGGCCACCAAGAGCATGTATACACTTCTGTCCCAGGTAAACTTTTATCAGCTCGGTTAAATGCAAACTAAGCTGCAAAAATTTGCAAGCTGGTAAAGTAAATCCCGTGAAACCTAAGAATGGGCGGGAAATGAGACTATCCAAACCAGGTCATTATCTCAGTGAAAGCACCCCAAACAGGCACGCAGACTGGAGCCTATAGTAGCCCTGCCTTTTACAGGACGAGTCTGCTCCAGACTCCAGCCTTGTCCTCCTATCTCTCTCTCTCTCTCCAGCCACCCTTTCGACGCGCGACCAAAGAATCAAGGCAGCAGAATTATTGCTGCTGCCGCCGCCGCCGCCACTGCGCACGCGCCACTTGCCGCCGTTTCACCTGCAATCCCGTAGTACTGCGAGGTAGCGCAGGCCAAACGCCCCGGCAGGTATGGCGAAAATTCTACTGCGTAACCGTGGCGGCCGGGCAAGCGGAAGGCCTGCGCTTTCAGGAGCTTTCCTAGCGCTTCGCCACCGCTACGGCTCATGGCCTCACCGCCGGTTCTGAGCTCTCGTCTACCCGGCCGCGGGGAAGCAGCTGCTCGCGGCCGGCTTCAAAAGCGCCCGCTCCCTTTCTTGTTTCGCCGGGCCCATCCCCCTCCCTCCTGCCTCCTCGTATGGGCGGGTTTGAGGGAAACAGTCGCCGTCGTCACCATGCTTGTTTTGGGCGACAAGTCTTTCTTGCGAATTGCCTTCTTGCGAGTCGGGCTTCCGGTTCCAAGCTCGCCTTTCCTTGGAATCGATTCATTGGAATCGAAGAAGACGAAACATATGTGTGTGTGTATGTTTATATATATATATATACACATACATACACACACACACACACACACACACACACACACACACCCACATAACTGGTTAAAACTATCCAAGATGCGTTAGGACATTGAGAGCAATCAACCAATGGAACTGCTTGCCTTCCGAAGTTGTGGGAGTTTCATCACTGGAAGCTTTCAAGAAGAGACTGGACTGGAGATCTGTCAGAAATGGTGTTGGGGGGTTGGACTAGATGACCTACAAGGTCCCTTCCAACTCTGTTAATCTGTTAAAACGTCTCTAACTGACTTGTTTAAGCGTGTTGTGTAACATTGTGTTCGTTGAGACTGCAACGTTTTATATTGCTTTTCATTAAGGTGGGTTATAGTGTGGCTATAAGGGTAAAATAACTGGTAAAACCACAAATGAATATTTATTTTGCCATTTTAAAACATATGTAATAAATTAATGTCAAGGCATATTGCAATAAAATTTTAAGGACTCATTGCTTTTTCTGCAAACCTTCAGTTTTGACAGTATAGTTTTTTTAAAAAAAAGTTAATGCACCTTTAATTGTAGAAATTTGCTGGTGATACTACACTTTATTCAGAGCATTACAATCATAGACTATAAACAAGACTTTTAACTGCTATTCATACTGTGTGCATGGTAATAGAATATTCATTTTAATAGAGAAGTATATCAACAAATTTCTATCGAAGTGTAATGACACAATTGTCACCAAAGCTATCAGCATCTGTTTCCTGTTTTATAGAGTCACTGGTAATTGGAAAGACAGAAATTCTATCCAATTGCCCCACCCTTCTTTTTTTCCATCTGCTCTTACATAAAGAAGTTCTTCATAAGCATTTTACTAGAGTAATGGACTTATTTCACAAAGGATGGAGGTCAATAGATCTGTTATTGTTTATTAACTTATCAAATAACCAAAGGTTATTATGGCTGGCAGACAACATCCCAATAAAACAATGCATATATTAAAACAGTCATATATATAACATGTTTAAAATTAAATAAAATTAAAATATACAAACCCTAGGCACAGAGAGAACAAGTATATCCACTTCATTAGTGGAGCCACCTGAACCATATCTCTAATTGACAATAGTAAATCTTTTTTCTATTAATTAAAAAAAGTTTAAGAAAATATTATTGATTTTATTACAATTGAACTTCGAAGGAAGCACATATGGTCTGGTTGCCCAAGATGTTAGCTAAAATGAGGCTGCCTAATTTGTGGCTCAGCATATAATTTGAGTGAATCTGGCTAATGTCATATGCAAGCTTAGCATGCACTTGCATTAATTCAGTTCACCATATGCTTTGTGAGAGGACAAGCTATACAACCCTATGATGTGAGTAAACTTGTATGTAATATAGGCCCTTCCGGTTTGAAGTCTCTTCAGCAACAGACAGAAATCCGCGATCGTGTGCGGTTTCTGTCTGGGCTCTCCGCTGGAGCACCCCGAGCCAGCTGGTTTCGGGGCTAAGCCACCCCATAGAGGTGGTGAAGAGGGGGGAGACTGCCAGCAGGGTTGAAGAGAGCCGCATCTCTCCTCCTCAGCTGGCCATTACTCCCTTTCCCGAAGGCGGTTGAAACGGTGGTCAGAAATGGCCACCACAAAGAAGAACTCAACCGGAAAAGAATGTGCAGGGGGAAGATAAGAAGTGAAAGTTTTGGCTGACCGGGTTAAATTGTAAAAGCAACAACTAAGGTACCCTGGAATTTAAACTTACAAAAAATAACATCGTTCCCAAAGAAGAGTCGGAAGCAGCGAAGAAAAGTGAAAAGGGAAAGGTTTGGCTTTTTTTTTCTTCTTTCTCCTTCCCTATACTGACAACTAAGAGACTTAAATAAGAAATCGGAAAAATCCGCTTTGACATCAATAGGTAATTAAGCTGAAAATAAAACAAAATGCCAAAGGGATAATAAAGATTTCTGGACATTAAAATTTTTCTTTTTCATAAGCAGGAAGGGAGAGAACAAGAATAAGGGCAGGATCTGGAAGAGGGAGGAGACTGCCTGGAATTAAAAAGAATCCACAGTAAAACTTCAACAAGACTTCTAAAAGATACATTTTAACTGAAACTTTGTAACTAAACAGTAACCCCAGGAAGAGAAAGTGAAAAAAAAAAGAGCAAAAAGAAACAGCTTGCATGTATTTGGATTATTTGGTGATCTTTGGATTCTTGGTTATTGCATTTGAATGACTAAAATCAATCAGGTGGTTGTTTAAAAATTTATACAATGGCACCACTTCTGGATGAATGGAAAATGGAACTTAAAAAGTACAAAGAAGACGCACAAGAAGGGAAGGGTTCTTTTGGCTTCTTTTTTCAATTCTTAGAAATTGAGATTTGGAACTATGAGAAACAACAAGAAATGTCTGTAAAACAAGAAGACTGGGACAAAGAAGAAGCCATCTTTAATGAACAAGCAATTTTATGTGGGGAAGAAAAAGGAAAGGGGGAAAAGAGAATGGAAAATTTAAGACTTAAAAAAACAAGCAAAGAAACGAAAATTATTTGAAAAATAAGTATAATACTGGAAAGCAACAGAAGAGGGGAATACAGAAGAGAGAAATAGAGGTAGAGAGACAAGGGGGTAAAAAGGGGAGAGAGAAGAAGAGAGGGAAGAAGGAAAGGAAAAGAAGTTGCAAAGGACCGGAGCAAGATATAGAGAAACAGGACCTATTTAGAGATAATGGGTAAAAATCTAACTGAAAAAGGGATTCTATAAAGGTACATAAGATTATATTGTTATATTAGTAATAGAAATAACTTTAGAAAATTGGAAACAATGTATAATTAAATTGAGGGATAAAATAGTTAGTGTAATTTAGTGAAATGTTTGTGAATAAATAAGTGAAATAAAATAAATGAGGAAATTGAATTAGGAAGGAACGGGAACATTTTAATTAGTTAATGTTTTATAAAATATAAGTGAAGGGGGGGGAATTAACTATGGAAAGCTTATAATTGTTCCCATAGAAGTTTTTTTTTTTGAAAACAGTTTTATTGGTTTTTTAACAAACAAACAAAAACATACAAAACATAAAAGCATCAGCTCTCTTCCATACTTATATACAAACAGTGTGTCGGTTGGTTCATCAGTTTTGTGCATCCATTTCGTAGTCTCAATTACAATTACGTTACATAATAGCTCTTATTTTCAATCCTAACTTATATATATTCATATCATTATTAAAAAAAAATCATTTGACTATACTTTTATTCATTCATACTTTATGAGATAACTATAGTTTAAGTAATTTATTCTATAACAAATCATATAATCATGCCAATTCTATCCTAAAAAAAAAACACTTTATATATCTATAAAGTGTATCTAATAGCAAAAGAAAAAGAAAAAACAAGAATATTCCTTATTATCTAAAATTCTAGGTATTCTATTGTCATATTTCATCATCTAACCATTGATAGAAAAGGTCCCAAATTTTATAAAATTGTTTATCTTCTTGCTCTCTAATTTCAAATGTCAATCAACTCATCTCAGCACATTCCAATATTTTCTTAATAATTTCTTCCTGCGATGGAATTTTCTCATTTTTCCAGTTTTTAGCAAATACAATTCTAGCCGCAGTTAATACATTTACAATCAAATATTTCAGATCTTTACTGTATACATCTGGTAGAATTCCCAATAAAAAGAACTCTGGTTTCAAATCTATATGTTTCTTTGTCATTTTTTCCAGCCACAATGCGGATTGGAAATGTCATCAGATACCTGGCTCATATTACCATATGTGGTGGACTTGTGAGGACGCTAGAAAATATTGGCCCATAGAAGTATTATATTTAATTGAAAAGTAATGTTAAAGATGTTAAGACTTTAATAAATATTAACATTAATGATAGAATTGAATTGGAATGGAATGTGTTGTTTTAATTATATACATTTATAATTTTTTTCTTTTTTTAACAATATAGTGTGTATTTTAAGAATGTACAAGCAGAATCCGAATGGAAGTTATGTATTATATTGAATGTTATAACTTTAGGGTATATATTGAAGCCTAAATAAGAGTTAAATTGATAAACTTAAAAGATATAAAGGCGTCATACTCCAATCAGTAACTACAGGAGAAATTTTGTTTAATGAGAAAAGATAATAGATAATTGAAACAGGACAGACAAAAAATATAAATACAATGATTTGAATTGAGATGAGATCATTAAAATAAAATTGAGAAAATTAAAAGAGGGGAGAAGCTATGCAGAAAATGTAAAATAGTAATAAGATATGGAATACAATATAAAAATGAGCATGAACCTGAATTTGTGTCTGTACGAAGAAATGTAACCCAGGATTACACTACTTTCAAAAAAGATGTTTTATTTGTATTTTTTTTCTCTTTGTGAAAACTCAAATAAAATTTACAAAAGGAACCACTTGTATGTAATATAATTCAAATGACTCACATAATAGTCCTATTAATTTATCAACAAAATAGTGTTCAAAATATGCTAAAGATTTTGCAACACTGATGTTAAAAATGAAAAATGCTACTCTATATAAAAGCTAGGCCTACATTTACACCCCGTGTAATTTTATGCACAGATGATAAAGATGCCTTATAATAAAAAATGTGGCTTATTGTATAGGTGGTTGAAAGATAAATAGGTTGAACAATAAGATATTGCAGAGAAGTTACATAATCTAAAAGCATCCATTTGGTAAGTGCTTATTTTGATCAGGTTTATTAAATATACAATTGCTAGAAAAAGCCATAATAAGTCTCTCTCTCTCCCTCTCCCTCTCCCCTCCCCCCATATATATATGTATACATATACATACATACACA